GATTCTAAGAAAAAACTTTAATTGGCCTATTCATGCTCCGCCCACTGATGCATTCTGACAAGCCCAAGGGAAAGTTTTCATCCTCAAATGTTGCTCTTTGACGGCTCAGGAGACTTCATGATCATTCTCCTAAAGTTCCTTAAAGGAAATACTATTAGACAAAAAGGCGACATGAGATACTTCTGGCCCAGATAAAACCTCCATCTAGAATGTGGAATGTTTGAGTTCATACTGAGGATCTATCTGTCGAGTTCAGCTGCAGGTAATCATTAGCGTTAATACTCTTGACAAATCTGAGCATGTGTGACTTTACTGGGGTCTCTACAATTTGAGATTTGGAGACATTAGATTACTGGGCAGAAATATCTGATGAAACATAATTGTCTAGGATAAACTCCAAAGATATTAAGTAGATCATGTTTTGATTTTTCTTGCCTTTAGGAGTTTTACAGAACCATGACAAAAGTTCCATTTAACCAAATAAAATATTGAAGCGCACTTTGATAAGTTACTATGTAATGTTGAGTTTTGTTAACAAGCTGGATGATGTTGTTGTAGCCCATGGTGACTATTACAACAATGGCAGACTGTTCAGCCATAAATGTCAAGAAAAATGAGACAAACTATATGATAATGCTAATTTCTGCTAGCACCCCTATGGGAATTCTAATAGCATGTTAGTATTAATCTAATGCTGGTGAACATTTAACAATGAAATAAGAGTGCTGCAACAATAATTAGAGTTTTAATACAACAATCATGATGATTTTATTAAATACAAATGAACTAAAATTACAGATATGTATTTTTTATCCCCAGAAACCATTAGGACTTCTGTGAAGGCCTAGAAGGCCCTCAGGGTTCCCCACTGATTGTCGCTAATCAGAATGAGAGAGGCTGTAAACAATGATGATGAATTAGCCACTATGCTACTGTTAGCTCGACACAAAAATATCCAGTCTGCATATCCAATCTTAACAGTGTGACCTGTGACATGCATACAAAATAAATATCATTCATAATTTATAATGCACTCTAAATGTACATGTTGTGTTTTTAAAAAATGAGTTTTCATTTGTTTTAAATGAGATTTTTGCCAACATACTGTAAATCTTGAATTTTTGGCAGAGCATGGATAAGTCAATTGGTATTATAGCCTTTACATTATGCAAAGGTTCCTAAACTTTCAAACAGTTCTTTACACTCGTATACTCTATTTACAGAAAGTTCTCTTTAAAAAAACGCCCATTGAGAGGTCCCTATGGGAACCAAAGTGGTCCTTTTGTGGTGTCGCTCCAAAGAACCCTTTTGGCACCTCTAAATGTACTTATGTACAATCCATTTCCGTTCCTGAGCCAGAAAACATGCCGGCATGCCTGGTGTAAGACTGATCAAGCTCTGACGAAGCTTATATGGTTTGAAATGCCCGAAACATTCAGCAGTCACCTTGTTAACAAGGGTCATGTTACACCAACACTGGTGAGGGGTCACTGACTTTCCTCCATGAATTTAGCCCATTTCGCGCGAAGGCACTGTGGTGGTTTGTTTGAAATGGGGCCCAGCTCTGCTCACTAATCTGAACCATACGGACTGGAAATGGGGGGACGAAACCCACAAACCCACACGGACCACTGGAGCTCATTCCATCCCTGCCTGTTGCCACGGCAACTCGCCGGCACCAGGCTTGAAGTCAGCTCATTCCTGAGGTGGTGATATCATGGGGCCGTGCGCCGCTTGATTGGCTGTGGAATGCTGTGGTTTTGTCGGTGCCGGAGCTGCATTGGAGAAGGGGCAGTTTTGGGAGGAGTGGGGGTTGGGGGTAGTAGAGGGGTGTTGGGGTTGGTGCTACACCCTGGAGTGGCCACAAATGAAAACACTCATATAAACTGCAAATATTTCAGTCGTGTCCTGAGAAAAGCAAATGACTAACAGGAAGATGAGGATGTTTTTCTTCCAGGAATGATGTGGTGAAAGTCCAAAACCATTTGGGCCTGGTGTGTGGGCTCTGTGTGTGTGTGTATATGTGTATCATATGACTGCCCCTTATTCACCCATGTGACCCCACATGACTGCAGGTTTGCATGGCTTCAGTAATGAGAGAAAATACGGAAAGATGGAAAGCAGGGTGGACGAGGAAACGGAAATACAGGGGGTTTACATGGTGAAAGAGAGGGCATTACAGAGTATTTGTGAGCGAATCAGTAGAAGAAGAAAAATATAGGGGTATTGTGATGGCCTGAGAAACACTATATTTAGTATTTCAGAGAATGGCCACATCGTTCTCAAATCTGTTAAAGGGCTCCAGAGACCTGGAAATAGCCATCTTCATTGAGTACAACTGAAATAAAACCTAAACCCTATTTTGAATTGTGTTCAACTAAAAATCAGAAAACTGGGATCTCACTGTTTTTTTTGCACTGAGAGCTGTGAAGCCAATTCTAAGGTTCTGGGATTCAAACCTTGGAACTTGGGAAACTTGGAACAGCAGTGAATCTTTGTAGAAGTGGTTGGCCACCAAAATTCCTCCAAGAGTGCTGCGCCGACTCATCCTGGAAGTCACAAAAGAACCAAGATAAACATCTAAGGAGCTGCTGACCTCGCACACCCCAGTTAAGGTCAAAAGTAAAACTAACACAGAATGGCATAATAAAAACATCATACCAACAGTCAAACATGGTGGTGGTAGTGTGAAGGTTTGGGAATGCCTTGCTGCTTTAGGGCCTGATGGAACCATAAATTCTGCTCTATACCTGAAAATCCTACAGAAGAACATCTGGCCATTAGTTTGTGATCTGAAGCTGAAAAGCAATTGGGTAATGCAGCAAGACAATGATTCACCACACAAGAGCAAGCCCACCTCTGAACATCTCAAGAGAAATAAAATTAAAGTTTTGGAGCGGCCTAGTCCAAGTCCCCATTGAGATGCTGTGACAGGACCTTAAACAGACAGTTCATGCTCGAAAGCCTTCCAAAGTGCTTGAATTAAAGCAATTCTACAAAGAAGAGTGGACCAAAAGTCCTGCACAGTGATGTGAAAGACTGATCTGCAGTTGTATGAAGCATTTGTTTGCAGGTGAATGTGGCACAGTTAAAACAGTTATTAAGTGTGGGGGGCACCTACTTTTTCACGAGTGACAAAGGCATTGCAAAACTTTAAAACAATCATTTAAAAACTGGTTTGTGTTTCTTCATGTTCTTTTTGTGATATATTACATTCTGTATGAGGAACTGAAACCAGATCACAGTCGGTGTGATAAATATGAAACCTAGAGGACATCATGGCACTGTAGCTATAAGTTATAGCAAATTACTGTAAAACCGCAAAAGCAAATAGACAGGAATTTGCATCGTGCTCGTCTGCTCATCTCCCTGTTTTATCAGCAAGGGGTGTTACAGTAAATATTTGGTGAAATATCGATTAATAATAGGATATGAAGGCCTGTTAACTGTTTGATATCTCCTGCTGTGACGGATACAGCTCTATTCTGAAAGTAGCCTATATTAAAAGTGAATGAAAATGCTCTCGAAAGTGTTCATACTGAATAGAGTTTAAAGGTTGATCAATACGTCTCTGACATTAGACATTTTAAAATGCATTCACTTCAGTCACAATTCAGTATTTTTATTATTCAGATCTTTTTTATTTAGGATTTGTACTTTTTTTTAAGTGACAGCACACTTAAGAGAATTTTAATTAATTAATTTAATTTATTTTTATTTCTTTAATAAAACAGTAAGTTTCGTTTTTCGTTTTCTCTAGCATTAGAATAATTTGTATCAATGAATTATCCAAAGGAATAAAAAACTCATGTTACACATGAAAGAGGGATTCCACCATTTTTTCAAGCTTTCTGAAAAATTCAGTCGTTGAGCTGTAAACAGAATCATTCAAAGTGGTTTGATGTGAAATTGGTCATTGTATAGAAACTTATAGACTCAGACGTATTTACAGTGGTGGTGAGAGGAACCAGGAGTCACAATGTCCACAACACAAACCTTTGCATTTTATTCAATATCCAAAACCACCAGTGAACCTACACGTGTCTTCTGAGTTTTTATATGTAATGATGATGATGGTAAAATAGTGGTAAAACATTGTATTTGTAACATTTCATGTAATAACTTTCTCTGAAGGAGCTCTTAGAGGCATTAAGCTATTCAGACGTCTGGTTCCTATCACCACCACTGTGAACAATTCTGACTTAGCACGTTTCTTTAGAATGGAGCTTGATAAATAGTGGAAAATCTGAAAAAATAAGACTATTTTGCCTTACGATGACCTACACATACCTCCCCACAATAATATAATTGATTAATTGATTATAATAAATTGATTAAAATACATATTATACCAAAACCTTAGCATAAAACAATGTGTCTAACACCAGGTAGCATGTATCTAACCATTTTATGTAATAACCTTCTGTGAAGGAGCTTGCAGTGGCATTAAATTCTTCAGATGTCTGGTTCCTATCAACACCACTGTGAGCAACTCTGACTCTTTAAGTTTCTCTGTAACTGAGCATTTCACACCAAACCACTCTGAATGACTTTGTTTACATCTCAACCATTTAATTACCTAGAAATTTTGAAAAATCAACAGAGTCCCCCTTTAGAAGTCCTAGTTAATTTCCTGAGCATCGGTAGGACAGCGCCGCCTTGTGGAAGAAGACACTGACTTTGTTCTGTAAGGTTCGTTTCAAAAGACGAACCGTTAAAACAGACCGAACTAGAATGCTGGTCGGCTTTTCTGTTCATATCCGCTCCTGACACGAGCTGGGGTTCATAATAAAATAAAAGGTCCTTTTAGTTCATCTGAGCTCTTGGCCCAAATGTATGAAAGTATAGGCCGATGTTTCAGAGCCCTATCTAGGGTGTGAGTCTTGCCCTGTGTAGGGCACTAGGGGTAGGGAGCAGGGAGCCGTTTGACACCCGCCCGCGTTTCTCCGCCGAAAAGAACGAGGAGCGCGTCATGACTCGGTCGCACGTGGCTCTGAGTCCGCAGTCACATGACTGTTATTTCCTGAAGTCTTCTTCGTTGTTACGGTGCGATAAAAAAATCGCTGTATTCGCCCGCAAATCTGAAAAAGCAGCGCCGTCGGTTTAACAGAAGAGCCGAGCGTCGCCCACACAAACAGCAGGACTCTTAAAAACCGCCGTAAAGAAGCTGTTAGAGCCTCTCCGCTGCTGAAAAAGTAGAAGAAGAAGGAGGCAGCAGCGCTGACTGTGTGTCTGTGCGTTTGAATGCGGCGCAGCTCGAAAACAAACCGAAACGTCGAGCTGAGTAAAGCGGCAGACCAGGCTGTGGTGACGATTTCAGAGGCGGTTTAAGGCGTGTGTCAGTGTGAGCGGACAGCAGGGTCAGCACCTCAGTTCTCCACATAAAAACATCAGGCGGACAGGTTCGTTAGCCCGCTGTTAGAGCTGTCAGAGCCTCCTCCACACTCAAAATGTCAAAGTACACTAGTTTCCCGGAGCCCAACGACGACCACAATCCCTTCCAGGTGATGTTTTAGCCGTTATTTAGCACTTACAGTGGCTACAGTGAAGCTTTGTAAAATAGAGGGTTTTATTAAGTCTAATTGTTTTTCTCTTATCATGTTCACAGGATCCTTCAGTGACACAGCACAGCAGCAACACAGACTACCCCACTCTGGACCTGTACAACCCCTTCGACACCAGAGCACCAGGGGTAAGAGAGAGAGAGGGAGGAAGCGACTGAGGGAGGGAGAGAGAGAGATAGAAATAAAGAAAGTGAGTGAGAAAGAGAGAGAGGGGAGTGACTGAGAGAGAAAGAAAGAGTGAGAAAAAAAGAAAGTGAAAATGAGAGAAGTGCTTTCTCACAGCTCTGCCTCTCAGCGAAGGCCGTCTGTGAGGAGGAAGCTCTGAGAGATGTCATGAGACAGTCGCCACTCCCCTGCAGTCTTGTATATCGGCCCAGGAGAGCAGCAACTATCACATATTTTCATTTCCTTCTCAAAGTTTAGAATTTTTTATAAGAATAGGGAAAACTCAAGATGTATTTCCCTCAAATGAAATGGAAATACATCAGTGGGGAACAATTATTCTCAGAGCAAATGCATAAAATGCTATTTTGAGCGTTTGTCAGTTATCAGCCTAAAAACTGAAGACAGCTTTTCGGTACATCAGAGTGGGCCACAGTTGTGGATATTGTCAGGACTTAAAAAAACACATTACCTTCAAAGTTTATGAAAAAGAAATCATAATCAGTTCTGTTTGATGTTAAAGCATCACAGTGTGTAGAATGTATACAAATAATTGATACAAAGTTTTTGAAGTGGCACCAATTTGTCTATTCTAACTTACCACATGTGCACTAGGCAAAGGTAGGCAGCCATCCAGGGCCTTCAAGAGCCGAAGTCCCCATGAAACTACAAATTAGATGCACTACATGTTGATGTTACATAACCTATTCTAAAAAAATACACATAATGAAAATAGTAGGAATTTCTGATTGTTATGATTATTTCAGTCATTTTAATGCAGCCCCACTCTCCAGTCATGGTTATAATAGACTATTCCATTTTGTCAAATGTTGGCACAACTATGTGAAGACAGGCTGGTATGGAAAAAGGTTATTCAGTGTGGTTGAGAGGGAAAATCAAATTAAATTATTCAAGTGCAGAGGAGAAATTCAGACGGTTTGTCACTTGACTGCTAAACCTAACTTCATGTGTTCAGTGAGAACAGAGTGCTACACAGGTTCAGCACACTGTACATAATGCTAGTGTTAATGTTAGTGTAGGTAGATACAGTGTTGGGGTAGATACTCAGAAACTGAGCTCTTTAGATTTCTTACAAAATCTTGTGGGATTATGTTATTTATTACTTGTTGGATGTATTAATTTCTCTCTATTCATTATTTTTACCAGGATTTCTCACTATACTGACATAATTTTGCATGTTTCAAGCATTATTTTTTAAAACAAGCAAAATTGTCTGCCAATATAGTGAAGCCATTTTCACTTAATGAAAATCCTTAAGTAAAGAATGACCTGAATTAAGTTAAATGACCATATAATATTCTTACAACAATCTCAAAATGAGAAATATTAGGTATATCAGCTAGATTTAATATGAGGGCACTTGCCAAGATATCATTTTTTTGCAGTGTGGATTGTGGCACCCAGAACCACAACTAATTTAAAAATGTGCATCCAGGAGCCCCAGAATCACTAAATCCACATTGTAGCTTTGTAAACAAAAAATCCCATCTATCAGATAAAAACCAATACACAGAAGCACGCATGCTTGTATAAGAGCAAAAAGTCCCAGTTATTTGAATCGCTTTTTTGTTTTCGAACATTCATAATAATAGAATTTATCCAATTGTGTCAAATATTCATTTGCAATCCTACACTTATTTTTGTTTTACTTTCCCAAACACCAGTTTTGAACCTTAGCCTTTCACAATACGATTTTTCTTAGTACTTACATCATTAGTACTAAGAAAACTAAATGTTTCAGTCACATGTTTTTAATATGGTAGTTCCCTACAGACGACCAGCAGATGTTCGACTTTTTAACAAATTATCTGGAAACTAAGTTGACACATATTGGGGATACATTCAGGGTTAAGTTTGTGTAAAGGGTTACACTTAATAAAGTCTGGTACTTTCATTTTAAAGTTGAATGCAAAAGACAAGGTGAGCATCTACAGTGAACTGAAGTGTTGTTTTATTACAGAGAGAGCATAATTAGGCCTGTTTAATTGGATTTAGTGCAGTGCATTGTGTAAAACGAATAAAAATATAAAAATGTTCTTTGTTTCGACAGTATTTTTAATCTGGGCACCACTGGTCCTTTTTTGTCTGTTCCAACTAATCAAACCTCGGAAGAACTAAACATTGTAATGCAAGAAAATGTCTTAAATTATATAACGTTTCTCCATTTTGTCCACCTCTACAGTCAATGTTTATTGTGCTTATTTAATGTTGAAACATTTAATATACATTTGATAAGTGCTGTAAAAATAAAATTGCGAAACAATTGCACAATATGGATGAATGTGTTCAATGGATCAGTAAATTAGTAGATTTTTTTTTTTAGGCTTTAGAGTCATTCTGTTGTTCCGTTCCATGATTGTAGTTTGCACTGCCTGTTTGAGATTTTGCCGTGCGTGTGTGCATGTTGGGGGGTTGAGGGATCTTTTTAGGTTGGGCCATAATGGGGGCACCGTTCCTGTTTAAGGCTGAAGAACAATCAACCACAGTGAGCTGCACTACTGATTTTGCTCATTCCATATATCACTCACTTGCAGTCATTGTAATATATCTGATCACAAGGTTAATAATTTTGCAACTGCCATATTTGGACATGAAGACTCGTGAGAGTTGAAAAAGTTAACAAGTCCCCTGCAGTGGGGTTCAGAAGCTTAGTCCCCCAGAGAGCATTTTAGTGATTTTAACACAAAAATAATACATTCTGGTGCACTCTGAGAATAAAACACAAGGAAGCAAATAATTACTGTAGTATGATTCACTTCATTGAGTGTAACAGCTATGTCCGTACAGGTCATGTCAAAACCTGTGCTGCTTTCAAAGTGTTTTGTTGTATTTATTAAAAAAATATTGTTAACTTATAGCTAGACTTGGGGGGTAAAGCAAAAATATAACACTGCAATACTTCAAGAAGTTTTGACAATACACAACCTGTCATGATATGTATTTTTTCTGACATCTGATTAGCTGGAACAGTCAGTTCCACATCTAAAAAATGTGATTAAATATCATGAATCCAATGATTTGTATTCAAGGTTTTCACACTGTGCTACACAAAATCCACTTAAAAAGACGGTTTATGCTCTCTTTGTAATCAAACAGGCAGTTGGTCAGTGTTAAAGTACTGACAATATCCACAATATACTCAGAGAAGCATGTTGTGACGTACTGTGACATAATTTATCATACAATAATAATAATTATTGACATATTGCCCAGTTCTGCGTACTGCTATTACTTTGTAATATATAGATATATGTATTTATCGGTAAAGATGTTGTTGATATTTGTAATCATGTGTGTTTTTTTGCTCTTTTTTCTACATGCTATAGCCTCCACCTCCTTATGAGGCCACACCTCCATCTGCACCACCCCCGGCTCAGACTCCACCCATCAGAACCACTCCCACAGAACCCAGAAATTATGGATCCTATGGCACACAGGTACCTTTACAGCCACTGCTTACGTGTTTAGTAGGAGGATAAAATTCCAAGCCATTCATACAATTCGACTGCATATAGTGGATATCACATTTATTGAAGAATTTAGTTTATTGTTAATCTCTGTTAGTATCTTAGCTTATTCTCACATTTAATGTGGAGAGGAAGCAATATTTAGAGTCACTGTATTAAGTGTGCTGTGCAAAAAGTGTGATACAACTCTTTTTCGTCTGTTGAGAAATTTAACAGAAGCTTCCTAGCTGTGACTTTTAAAGTTCATTACTTCTTTATGGATAGTAACAGAAAAAAGTGAAAAAGCTTAAGTCTATTATTAATTAGCAAACGGTAACCTATTAACCGGCTCCTCTCTTTCTGAAGCAGTCTGCAGTGAATGCCACCACAGCGGAGCTCCTGAGGAAGCAGGAGGAGCTGGAGAGGAAAGCAAAGGAGTTGGAGAGAAGGGAGAGAGAGCTGGACTCTCATGCTCGCAGCACTGGATCGTGTGAGTGGAGGAAGGGATAAATGAGAACAGAAAGAAAGTGGTACCTTATTTCTTGGTGCTGATTAGACCACACCAGGGCCTATACAGTTCAGTAAAGTCCAAGCAGAATGAACGTTCAGAGATGTAAAGGAAACAAGGGGACTAGTGGGAAAGGTAGAACAAGGTTATTTACTCTCATTCCCTCATATTCATTGAGTTGCCAGTTTATTAGTTTCACCTAGCTTGTACCTGCACGTATTGGCCATTTGTCAGTTACACTTACCGTGAAGGTGTAGCCCAAAGCCCATTTGTTGCTCCACAGTTTACCTGCCTCCTTCTATTCTGTCCATCAGTGGAAAGGGACCACCATAGGACCACCTTTGACCAGATATTATTTGGGTGGTGGTCCACTCTCAGCACAGCAATGACACTGACAAGGTAGTGATGTGTTATAACCCTAACATTTTCATTTATTAGCTTTATTTCAATGGTCTTATGTGTATTTAAGGAAACACACAAAATGTTTCAACCTTAAACCACTTTTGTTAGCTCTACTGTCATCAGTTAGGATCAGGGTCGGTCGCATCCCATTTTAGACTCTGAGCTATTTTGTGGTTTCTAGCAAAATGCATAGCTATAGTTAATGTAGCCATCTTCCATCAACAAGAAATCTGTAAGATGTGAGCTACTCAGTGCTCCTCACTGTATTGAATGCTGTGTGTGTATTGGTGCCTCTCCACTTGTTGGTTCTTTAGTTATCATTTTACTCCCCTTAACACAGCTCTCCACAACAACTAACAACAGCTTTTGGAAAATGGGATGTTCATACCCATCACTGTAGCTTTAGTAACTCTTCTGGAAGTAATATGTTATTAAGTTGGCTTAGCAGCTCTAATTCTGGAGATGCAGCTGACAGTGCCATCTTTTTGTATTATTTTATCTTTTATATTATTAAATATAATCACGGAAGATTAGAAGCTCCAGTTTCCGGCTTTATTAACTTTAAACATACATACCTGTTTTTCTTTTTAAAGATGATCCAAAGATTCTGCTGTATTTTAGTGTTCTTTCAATGGGTGTGTGCATTGTACAAAACACTCCACAGTATAAACAATGAAAAATGAAAGTGCACACCATTCTGAAGTTGCACATGCTCTGCCCTGATCAGAACTTGTTTGACATGAAGAACAATGGCAGTGTGTGAATCTCACATATGGATGGAATGAAAATATTGATAATAGACACCTTAAGTGATGCCACATGGATCCAGAAGGGATAGAAAGGGGGATGTTTTTTGTAAAGGATGGCTTTTTTTGACTGGAGTGGATGGCATCCCCTTGCATCCCCCCTTATATGGAGCATTCAGAGTGTATATTGAGTATTTTAGAACAGCTTAGAATGCAGTTCAGCCAATCACATTGAGAACAAGAGAAAGACCAGTTTTTTAAAACTCGCAAAGTTGATCTGTATGTTAGGTGTATCTAATAAAATGACCCAGGAGTGTAGATTAGAAGTCTGCAAAGGCAAGAAGTAGAAACCTGAACCCGACCTGAACCTGCTCGCACAACAGGCAAGAGGAAAGATCTGCTCTAATCCCTTTACACCAATCCAACAGATCTCCCTCATCCATGGTGTGAGTGATTGATATAACGTTGAAGTTCATCCCCGGTTTTATTCAGTGGTCTGTTTACACACTTCTCAAACTCCAGTATTCTAAATGTAGCTGTACATTATAACGTTACTTGAGAGAGAGAGAGAGAAAGAGAAAGAGAGAGAGAGAGAGAAGGGGGGGGCATGCAAGAGGGAATATGAACAAGACAGAAAATTTATGAAGACTTATTCCTTCAAAAAAAAATCATTAATTAGAAAAAACAAACCTAAGCCCAATGCGAGCCTGATGTTCTAATGTGGAAAAGCAGCCAAAACCCAGCCTGAAACCTGTTCTTTTGTTGGACCCCAAACCCCTAGTGTAGATACAAGGTGGGTCAACCTACATACATGCAAACTGATTGCAATTACTAGCAAAACCAGCATGTCTTGTGTTTTGGATGCTGGTATGCTGGTCAACCAGCATAATCATGGTAACCAGACCAGAATAATGTGCTGTTCATTTCAGCAGCGTTCTCCAGTAGCTTTCGAACAATGTTGATACCAACAGTCAGCTTCCATTTATTTTTCATCTGAAATTGATGTAGAACACGTTGATTTCTGTGAACTGTCATAACAGCTATGACAGCTAAATGACCTTCTACAAATTACATCACAAGTAGCAGTCTTCGGGTTCCAATCACTTGTAGCTTACAGAGCCCATAGATCACAAATAATGGGGCAGAGTTTTTACAATCGATTAATGATCTCAAAAGACTAAACTTTGCACATATTGACCTTGATATGGTATATAGATTTAAAAAATAGATTAAAATGTCTGGAAAACAGCAAAATATTTGCAGGTGACTTGCATGTCCAAAGATGTTGAAGTCAGTGAACTAAACAATTCCACAGCAATTACCCATGTATTTTATTCTCAGAGTGCACCAGAATTTCATATTAATCATTTTCTCCAAAGAGTGATGCTGCAAGGGTTTTAGTTTATGAACTATGCCACCTTTTTCTGCTCATGAGTTTTCATGTCTGAATCTATTAAACTTGAAACTCAGTATATATTGTAGAAAGAAGAGAGATAAAAGGAGACAGGACAGTTTTGCATATGTAGAGAGATGCAGGTTATGGATGAGGATGGATGATGGCTGAAAGAGTAGAAAAGAAGGGCTGACCTGAGGCTGTCAATGAAAATGGCACTAATGGAATGATGCTTTCTTTCCTTTTTTAGCTCGTCAGAATAATTGGCCTCCTTTGCCCTCTTTCTGTCCGGTGGGACCCTGCTTCTATCAGGACATCAACGTGGAGATCAACCAGAGATTCCAGCGCATCGTCACCATCATGTACTACTTCTGGATGTGTAAGATACTGTTTATCTGTAGATTATCTGAATGTCCAGTTGTGTCTTTTCATGGAAATTTTTGAAAGTGTGATGCTTCCATCTCATGTTATTGCACACTAATGATATTTTCATGCACCAGTAAAATCATAAAGCATCTGAGCTTGCAATAACTCAGATGTACCACTAGAGGTCTAAACATGCAGAGTTACTTGCAATGCATGAACATTTGTCACATTTAAACTAAATGTGATGTTTCATAAAGGCTAATCATATATTCCTAAATTCAGTATGTCTGTCTTTGTCTTCATTGATTATTTAAAATCATTTTCTGTAGTTTTAGACATTGTTGTGTTGCTATTGCTCTTATCATACTCCCTCACAATTCCTGATCACTTCTTTATTTGTCCCCCTCTCTCTCCTTAAAGTTTCAGCTGGCACTCTGATCTTTAACTTAATATCCTGCCTGGCTTTGTTCTGTGTGGATGTCCAAAACGGAGTCGGGCTGGGCCTGGCCATCCTCTGGCTTGTCCTTTTTACCCCCTGCTCCTTTGTCTGTTGGTACAGGCCTGTGTACAAAGCCTTCAGGTATGTACCACCTAATTTTCTTTTTGCAGACATCATAAGCTATGTTTCCTTTGACTTTTTGGCCAGATTTGTCTCAACTTGTGTTTCTTTGGGTTCCCTAACTTCCCCGTAATCTACCAACAAGGAAATCTGTTTTATTTTATTTTAAATATTTTCTTCCAATCAGAACAGTTACACAAGAGATCACATTTCTCTGCCATGTACATTTGTTTGAGCACTTTCCTTTTAGAAAGGCTGTAGCCATTTCTGGACATCTCTCTCTGTAAGTGCTGAAAAATGTCAGCATTTCTTTTAAAAAAAACTCCCATCTCCTCTTTAGTCCAAATTTCTCTCACAACACTAAGTTTATGCATAAATGAGTTTTTGCAACATTTTGGTTATTTAGAGTTTTGCAATATTTTGGGAAAACAGAAGACATTTTTATAACGTGAAGATTGGCTTTTTAAAGCATTAAAACTGAAAAAAATGTTTTTGAAATTTAATTAAGACTTAACAAGAATTGCATTACAATAAATTTGATGCAAACTGGACATTTGCAGAGGAAAAAAAGGATGTTGAGATATTTGCCACAACTGCCCTGTGATGGACTGGTCACCTGACCTGTCCACAGACAGATATATATATATATATATCTGTCTGTGTGTGTGTGTGTGTGTGTGTGTGTGTGTGTGTGTGTGTGAGTGAGTGAGTGAGTGAGTGAGTAAGATATCTTAATCAGTGGATCTCTCTGTCTCAACAGGAGTGATAGCTCTTTCAACTTCTTTGCATTCTTCTTCATCTTCTTTGCCCAAGTGGTCCTCTATGTCATCATGACCATTGGCATCCCAGGCTGGGGCTTCAGGTGAGCTGAATAATGCAGGGCAGGATCCAAGTGTGTTTCAGAATCTGCCAAACTGTAATCTTAGTCTGGTTTCTTTTACTACTTTGATCCATGTCAGCTGTCATTATTCCTGCCTTATTCATCACTATCTCTCCCTCCCACTCTCTTTGTCAGTGGATGGATTGTGGGTCTTTATGCACTAAAGAAGCAAGTGGCTGTAGGGGTGATCATGTTGCTGAATGCTGTGCTCTTCACTGCCCAGGCAGCCATGGGAGTGGTCATGCTCAAGAAGGTAAAGTGAAGTCCTGGTAAGCAGGACTTTAAAGATTCTTTTAGGCATCAAGGTTTTTGTATCGAGGCAGTGTTGACTGATCTCAGAGGTTTTGGGAAGCATCTACCAAACTTGGTATTAATTTTTTTTTGTGTGTTTCCTTTCTTATACAGTGCTTTTTTTTTTATTCTCAGTTTGTTTCCAGTGTATAATCATATCTGTTTCCCTCCCCCAGGTCCACTCTCTGTATAGGCAGACTGGAGCAAGTTTCCAGAAGGCACAGGCTGAGTTTGCCACCGAGGTCTTTTCCAATCAGGCTGTGCGCCAGGCAGCTGCAAACGCCACAACCTCGGCAGCGCAGGGGGCCTTCACTGGAGCCCGGTAGAGTGGAGGAAGAGAGTGGAGGAAGAGGGTGGAGGAAGAGGGTGGAGGAGGGTGGGGTGCGGGGAGGATGAGAATGAAGCTAGAGGGCTTAAAACAAACAAGTACAGCCAATAGAGAACATGGTTTATTCCTACAGTCCAGCTCTGTTCCAGACGTTTATACACTTAGACGAAGCCCTTCTTACTTGTATATAAGGTATGGATACAGTAGATCAGGGTGACATGTAATAACAGGATAATGTCCTTTATTAGCTTTCATAGCTGTGCTGGACTCTCATTTCTAACACAGTTTGGTGTAGGTGCAGATTTAGGAATTCTCATTTCTGACATCACTGAGGCTGATAAAACGGTTGATCGGGAGAGGAGAAAGTAACCAAGCACCTGTATGTTGCCTTAATGACAGAACAGTAATTGGCCACACTGTTCTTGGACGAGGCCTCCAAATAAAGAAAGGGAGAAGATACAATCAAGTATTAATTAAAGGCCATAAAGCAGTATTGTGATGAATATTCTTACAGTAGTTTGGGTCAAGGCCGTTAAGCAGTATGAAAAATGAAAGCAGAGCTGTTTGAAAGCTTGGGAGAAAAACCACATATACTATAGATTCATAATTCAGCTTCGTGATCACACAGTTATGGTGGATGGCACCACCAAGATCTGGATCTCGAGTTGTGAAAAAGCACTGAGTTTAAACCTGAGCTGCGCAGTGCACGCAAACACACACACGACTACTTGCGACATCAGTAAATCTACAGTATGTAGTGTAGCTTAATGCCTTTGAACTGCAGATAAAGAAACATAAAAAGTACAGTAAAGGACAGTGCAAATATGTAAATAGGTATTAAAAAAGCCACATTCTCTAAGATTGAACCGTCTTTTTCAAGGAATTTCTTTGCTCTACAACCTGCCAGAATTAACCTAAGCTTCACTTCTTCTTTTGTGTAAAAAACTGTGGGGATTTTTGTTTTTTTGTTCCAAATCTTACACAATGCAGCTTCTACATGTATTAATTAAAGAGAAACGATGGAACTAAACACTGTTGTCATAATGCCTTGCTCCTGGTACTGACATTGAAACTTTTATTTGCCGAATATTTTGTGAAGCTGTGCCAGATATCGTGTGACCTAAAAGTCATTTTGACTGGATTTACCTTTTCAAAATGTCTTGCATGTAAGATGCATGTGACTGTTAACAGACCTCCAATTGCCAGCTTTACAGGTGTTTTCAGACTCCAAAGATGAAGCCTTAAAAGTCGTTTGCAAAAAGTACCAGTTCTTTCTGAGTATATAGTGGAGGGTAAAAGGAACTACTGTTTAACAGTAACCAATTAGCAAAACTCCTAAATGCTGTAACTTGATCTTGATTCATACCAGTGTAGCATGGGTGGGACAGTTTCAGACTGTTAGACCAGGAGCAAATCAAACTGCCATCAGTCATGCACCCAGGCTACTGTATATATATATATATATATATATATATATATATATATATATATATATATATATATGTGTGTTCATAAACACTAATATTTGCTGTCTTTCTTTAACTTTCACAGAGAATGCCAACCTAAAATTTTGCGTAATGCCAAATGTATATCTCCAAATAAGTGTTATTTTTGGGTGTTTTTGATATTGGTGCTGTAGACTGTGTTCTTGTCATGTTTGTGAGTGCAGTTAATTTGTTTTAATAAAATTAATGAATATGCCTCTAATGTATTACTGTACAGATACAGTATATGGCTGAAAATATGCTATTAATTATTGACTTCAGGTGTTCAAAATCAGGCACATAGCTATGAAATCTCCAAACACTCACAGTAAAGTGGGTCATACTCAAGTGTTTAGTGACTTGAAACATGACACTGTCACAGGATGCCACCTTTGCTACAAGACAGTTTGTGCAGTTTCTGCCCTGTTACATCTGAACTGGTCAACTGTAACTGCTATTATGGTGAAATGGAAGCATTTAGGAGCAACAACAGCTCATCCATAAAAGGGGTAGACCATGCAAACCCACAGAGCAGGGTCACTGATTGTTGAAGCACCTGTCCTCTGGTGCATCACTTGCTACAGCATTGCAAACTGCCTCTGAAGGTAACATCAGCACAAGAACTGTGGAGCAGGAGCTTCATGAAATAGGTTTCCAGGGCTGAGCAGCTGTACGCAAGTCTAAGATCACTACGTGCAATGCCAACTTCACTATCTGGCAGTCTGATGGACGAATGGGTGTGGCAGATGCCAGGAGAACGCTACCTACCAAACTGCATGGTGTCAACGGTAAAGTTTGGTAGAGGAGGCATAATGGGCTAGGGCATTTTTTCAAGGTTTGCACCCTTTAGTTTCAGTGAAGGGTAATGTTAACGCTACAGCATACAAAAACATAGATAATTATATGCTTGCAGCCCTGCAATGGACTGGCGACCTATCCAGGGTGTATCCTGCCTTCCACCCAATGACAGCTGGGATAGGCTTCAGCACCCCACTGTGACCCAGAAGGATAAGCAGTTTAGATGATGTGTGTGTATGTATGTATGTATGTATATATATATGTGTATATATATATATATATATATATATATATATATATATATATATATATATGTATGTATGTATATGTATGCTTCCATCTGTGTGGCAACTGTTTGAGTAAGGCCCTTTCCTGTTTCAGCATGACTGTGCCCCTGTGCACAAGCTGAGGTCCATAAAGACATGGTTTGATGAGTTTGGTGTAGAGGAACCCCAGTGGCTTGCACAGAACCCTGACCTCAACCCAACTCAACACCTCTGGGATGAATTGGAATGTCATTTACGAGCCAGGCCCTCTCATTTAGCATCAGTGTCTGACCTCACATAAATGGCCCTCAAGTGGTTTTTCTGTGTCATCAAGCAAAGAACTCTTTTTGGTTACTGTTATCTATGAAAGGGCCCATATACTACATTTTTCCTCTTCCACTTATAACATTTGTGTGATTTATGTACCAAAATTATCATGATTCCTTTTTCTTGACAATTTTCTAATCTCTCTCTGTCCCTTAGAATTAAACAGGCTGTTTTTGTTACTGCACCTTTAAGAATGATTTAAAATAAATGAGCTGTGTTGTGATTGGATGCCTCATTCAAAACACACCAAAGTTGAGCCAACACTACAACATTTAGCCCGATTTTAACCGCAATTTTCATTTGCCAACCAATTTTTACAATCTGAAGCAAATTTTCCAGGTCAGAAGCTTGATCGGAAGCGAGTGAAGGTGTGGATAATCTGGTAGTGTGATAGTTGAAATGAGTCATTCTTTAGCCTTCCTACTGAGGCCTTCCTAGAAAGTCTGTAGAGAGGAGATTACTGCTACTCAGTAATGTCTTCTGGGTTTGTCAAACGCTGGAGGACGCTCCCAAACAGTCCAAAATGAATAAGTTAATGGAACATCAGAGCAAAATCAGTTTGTAAATGCTTAAAGGTTAACATAAAAGAAATTCATTCATTTCTTGAACACAAAACAGTATAAAACATTTTAACACCACTCTTATATTTTTGAGTGCTTATGAACTCCAGTTATGGGACTTTATAACGGCGCCTTATGTACGTTCATGACTTCAGAGTACCAACTTCACTGAGCCAATAAGCTGCTCTAATCGCTAACCAATCAGCACTCAGTAGCAGTAAAGCCAACCAGTCAGCACTCTGTAGCAATAATGCTAACCAATTGGCACACAGTAGCACTAATGCCAACGAATCAGCACTCAGTAGCAGTAGATGTTTGACTTTTACAACTCAAAATCACGAGTCCTGTAGTGTGACATGGTCAGTGATATAACTGAATGAATGAATGCAACAGCCAGTGAGAGGGCTGGAAGAATGGAGAAAAAAAACACAAAGAGATACATATGCACACCATGTGTAGCGCAGAGATAGAGGAGCTGCCAGATGAACACAAGAAAATAATCACTCTCTGAGTTTCAGTACAGCTGCCAGTGCATAGTAACTATTTCTTCAGAACCTCACAGTGATATCTGTGTTTCTCAACTGCATATTCATCCTCAGTTTGCATTTTTGTTATGCTTCATGTGGGTGCAGAAAAGCATGAACAGGTCTGGTCCAGTTTAGCTTTGTTTATGTTGTGTGAGATTTGGGATTTTGGGGGGAGATTTGTTTTTTTTTTTCATAACCAAAAGCCCACTGCATGTGTAATACCGTCTTTTTTCTGTATTGTCTGGTGTGCACACCCTCACAACAAAAAGATTCTGTAAAACACCAACGTATGTATATGATGTCCTCTGATTGCAAAATCTGTTAGTATTTTAAGTCGTGTAGCGTGCGCACAGCTTGAAAGCAGAAACACTCCTTATAACTTTAATGTGAGTGGGCGGGGCTAAACTGCTGTAGCCTGAATAGGTGGATACATGTAAATGAGTTAGATTTACATATTGGCAGGGCTGGGCAGAATACTTTGAAAAAGTAGTGGTGACTGAAAACTGAATACAGTCTTCTAAATATATTCAGTACTGTATTTCATTACAAAACATTAAAAAGTAACGTATTCAAAATACATTTAGAATACATATTGTAGCGACCTGCTACTGGCTGGCACTGCCTCCAAGACAGTCAGGAGGTGTGGCCATTCAAGTGGCCACATGCAGAGGCTCATGGTATGCACACACACTCCAGAAAATGACTTAAGTGTCTTTTAAATGTCATTGTTTGTAAGTATAGAGGGGCTTTGTGCGTTATTTATGATTTATTGTGTCTACTCAGGCTTTAGCAGAGCTCAGTAACACTGAGATTAATAACTGATCATCACATTGGTTTATCAGTCTACTTTAGGCTTTAGCAGAGCTCAGTAACACAGATTAATAACTGATCATCACATTGGTTTATCAGTCTACTCAGGCTTTAGCAGAGCTCAGTAACACTGAGATTAATAACTGATCATCACATTAGTTTATCAGTCTACTCAGGCTTTAGCAGAGCTCAGTAACACTGAGATTAATGACTGATCATCACATTGGTTTATCAGTCTACTTTAGGCTTTAGCAGAGCTCAGTAACGCTGAGATTAATAACTGATCATCACATTGGTTTAGCAGTCTACTTTAGGCTTTAGCAGAGCTCAATAACACTGAGATTAATAACTGATCATCACATTAGTTTATCAGTCTACTCAGGCTTTAGCAGAGCTCAGTAAGACTGAGATAATAACTGATCATCACACTGATTTATCAGTCTACTCAGGCTTTAGCAGAGCTCAGTGACACTGAGATAATAACTGATCATCACATTGATTTATCAGTCTACTCAGGCTTTAGCAGGGCTCAGTAACACTGAGATTAATAACTGATCATCACATTGGTTTATCAGTCTACTCAGGTTTTAGCAGAGCTCAGTAACACTGAGATTAATAACTGATCATCAAATTGATTTATCAGTCTACTCAGGCTTTAGCAGAGCTCAGTGACACTGAGATAATAACTGATCATCAAATTGATTTATCAGTCTACTCAGGCTTTAGCAGAGCTCAGTAACACTGAGATTAATAACTGATCATCACACTGATTTATCAGTCTACTCAGGCTTTAGCAGAGCTCAGTGACACTGAGATAATAACTGATCATCAAATTGATTTATCAGTCTACTCAGGCTTTAGCAGAGCTCAGTGACACTAACATAATTGATCATCACATTGATTTATCAGTCTACTCAGGCTTTAGCAGAGCTCAGTGACACTGACATAATAACTGATCATCACATTGGTTTATCAGTCTACTCAGGCTTTAGCAGAGCTCGATAACACATTAATTACTGGTTCATCACTGAGTTATCAGTCTACTCAGGTTTAAGCAGGAACTTGAGCATTTGTAAAGAAGTTGTTAATTGAGTTCTTCTGTATGGTACTTGTATGGTACACGCTATGTACTCTGTTTTTAACATAGTTAATAAACAAGTACTGATGGTGTTCTTTTTTGAAGAAGTGGTTAAGTATTCTAAAAGTATTCTCAAATTGTAAAAAGTGACTCTGAATACTTCCTTTACAAAACGTAACTTGGACTGAGTACAGATACTAATACAGATCTGTATTCTGAATGTGTATTCCCAATACTTGTATTCCATTACATCCCAACCCTGCATATTAGTCTTTAGAGCGAGGGAAATTCGGTTTTCCATGATATGGCCCTTAAAAAGTGGCAAATTCTGCTGTGCGCTCATTGAATTGGATGAGGGCTGAAATGTGTGTAGTAGTGGTTCTCGCTGACTGCAGGAGTTGGAGCTGAGTTAGACTTTGGTTCACAGGCGACGTGGACTGATGCGACCCCGCTAACGGTCGACGCCCCCCTGAATCGCGTCACACTTCTGTGTGTGTGTGTGTGTGTGTGTGTGTGCTGTGTGAAGATGGCGGAGGCCGCTGAGAGTCCGAGACGCAGATTTTTCTGTCACTGCTGTAAAAGTGAGGTGGAGCCCAAAGTGCCGGTGAGTTCTCTCTCTCTCTCTCTTTCTGTGTGTGTGTGTGTGTTACACACACACTGAGTGTTCTCTCAGATCTGACTGTGTGTGTGTGTGTGTGTGTGTGTGTGCGTGCGTGTGTGTGTGTGTGTAAAGCACAGCGGATCACTGACTGACCGCCTGAACATTCACGTTTCTAACCCGTTTAAACTCCCTGTCAGAGCCCAGACACTGTGTTTATCAGTGATCAAAGCTCTGCGCTGATCATTAAAGTGAACAATCGGCTGTATCAGGGTGGTGAGGTGGTCTCTGTCTCTGCTCGGGAGCCATTGGTGGTCTAAGTTTGGGAGTGACATCGTGTCCATATTTAGCGCGGACAGAGAGGCGGTGAGCTGGGCGACTGTGAGTAAGTTCACGAGGGCGAGCCGTGTGTCCTTCTTTACTCTGATGCGCTAAACCGACCGATAAGGCTGCCCTGCTTTAAAGCAGCTGTTTTGACACCTCTGAGCACGCGCACCTTGTGTGAAACCCGCACCACGCCCCCTAAAGCACGAGCACTACTGAGTGAGCACTCACTGTAGAATTAGCACCCAGATCTCGGGCCAGTCTGTGCAGTTCTCTCCTGACACTGTGGCCTGTGGAGATGTTCAGTATGTGGAGCATTCTGCTGTAGTAGGACAATGAACTATACAGACCTTAGATATTTACAGGGATTATGTTATGATCTATTTAAACTCAAGGCATTAATTGAGATGGTAATAAGCTAAATATACACAAAATCATCATGTATAGGGTACTTTAGGTTGGGAGGTGTCTGTCCCAAATCCTAACCCCTAAATTTCAACTTGTGAAAATAATGCTTACATTTTGTACATTTTTAAATATCTTTTTGATTTATTTTAAGGTGAAGTTGAAAGATTTAGATTTATCATGAGTTTAATAAAAAATAAAAATGCTGTCCCACGTCACTACTGCAGGGGTCGGCAACCCAAATATTTAGAAGAGCCATCGTATCCTTCCAACAAAGATTAACTCACCCTGGAAGCCACAACATTTTATGTCCATTTATTAAAATAACGTTTTACCCTCTTGGCTGTAAATATGTCTCAGCATGTGCTAATGTCCCAGTGTAGACTAAAAATCTAATATAAACGAAAACGCAGACTTACTTTGCTCTGCTTTAAGCTTTAGCTCAGCTGTAGCCACTTTTCTCACATCTGTGGCAGGAAACTTTTCCGCAAAAGTAGAAGAGTTTCTTGTAAAATGTCTCTCAACATTCACTTTTTATGAGGCTGAAGGCAGTTTCTCATTCGCCAGCTTCTTGTTTGAATTTTCCCATTCCACCTTAAAAGGTGCCTGAGGTGCCAGAACGTAACTGCTGCACCAATTAAGGTGGAACGGAAAATTCGAACAAGAAGCTGGCGAATGAGAAGTTCAATGGTTTCTCGCTGCAAACTAAACATATCCAGAAACCAGCTGGAGTGATTATAAATGCAAATAGGTCCATTTGTCTCAGAATTATTGCTGTTCATCTTAAATCTTTCTCTTTTCATTAGCTACTAGCTAGACAAGATTGATGCTGTAGTGACCAGCAATCTGTACACCAATCTTCAGAGGTAAAGGTTGGTGATTTAGCAATTATACATTCCAGCATTTAAGACCAGTGTTTAAGACCGATCAGCAGAGCTTTATTCTACTGCAGGATTATATTATTTTTACCTAAAAATCTAATTCTGCTGTGGAGCCGCAACAGGGCAGCAAATGAGCCGTGTGTTGCTGACCCGTGCACTACCAAAACACAAATGCTGTGTCCAAAATGGTCCCCTAATCACCACATTAGAAAATCTAGATCTCTATATAGAACACTATTATAGAACACTATTATAAAACAGAGTTTGTGATGGTGGTAACACTACGTCGTACGCGTTTGCTCATTATCGTTCGACAGCTATAACACTGTAAACATTATGCCACCAGTCCATTATAACCTCTGAGTTTGACTGCACACATGAGAAGAGCTTTCCAACATCTGTAACACCTCGGTGGAGACGCTGCCATTGTAGCTAGGCTCGATAGTCCTTCTCAGAGAAGTTGCATGTGAATCTTCAAACCAAACTATGCAATGCATTATGGGCATCCCATATCCACTAGGGTAAATCAGTTTTACATTACTTAATGCAGTGCATTGTGGGGTTGTTTGAGTGCATTGAATCTTCTGCACTATGTTTTCAGAGATCACCACAAAATGGAGGAACCTCAAAATAGTTCACTCCATAACGAATAGGGCGCAGTTAAAGAGTTTTAGTCCATGGGCGGAGCTTATTTTAGCCACACCCCTGCATTTTAGAGCAGGAAGTGAGACTGCATCCCAGTCCCTCATAGCCACACGTTGAGCAGTTAGATCCCATTGTTTTTAAGTAAATGTTTTAAAGTTCAAGAAACTTATAATCATTTAGACTCAACAGTGATAAACTCAGAAATATTGAACTTGGTGTTATTCCATAAAATCGTTAAAAATAATTTTTTTTTACCTGCATACTCAAGATATTATGATTTCTTAAAGCTGGTCATGCTAACTGGACTTTAATAACATCACAGAAAAAAAAGTCATAAATCTAATGACATACCTGACAGAAGTGATGTAAAATGCTTTATAATTGTTTTCCCACAGAGAAACATACGTGTAATTTTAGATAATTTTTATGGACTAGTGTAGTAAATGTCTTCGGTGTTATCAGTATTAGCTATAACACCACTGATTGTAACACGACTGAAAAAATTACTCAAATCTGAATGCTCATATAGCTCTGAGACTGTCCCTGTTTTTATGATACGTGTTTCATGGTATGCCACAATATGAATGGAAAATGTGTCATCATTTCAGATTCTGACGATTTAGACATCATCGTAGTTTGTACAATGCTAATTGTACCTTATCCTCTTAGTTCCAGTGCAACATTAAAAAGTGAATATTCAGCTACATTTTAGTGTAAAAAATGTTGCTGGTTTAAATGTGAGTAAATGGCAACCTGCTGACCATCCATACAGGAATATCTGTGCCCCAGGTGTGAGTCTGGCTTCATCGAGGAGGTGACTGAGGACTCCAGGTGAGAGGTTTCCATTGTGTAATTACTGATGATGTTTCTATGGCAGTCAGTCTTTATTTTGTCTGCCCACACAGGCAACATACTTAATAAATACAGATGGCTATTGTTGTTATGTTGTGTTTTTCATTCAAAATGAATAAATGTTGTTCTTTAGCATTCTACAGAGTGGTGGTGTTGCTAATGATGGAGTATCGGGCAGTGATGGCATGGCCTCACAGTTTGCTGAGGTAACTTTCTTTATCTTCTATGAATAGTTCATTTTCCAACTGTCATGTTTGAAGAACAAGGACAGTTATAGCAGCATTATCTTGATGAGAACTAGGCATTAAACTCTTGTGATCATCTATGACAGCTACCAAGAGCCAGTTAGCATTAAGCTGATAAGATCATTCAAACTGGTCCCACTTTCATTCCTACCCATTCTTACTCATAATCCCTTTAAATTGCTTACAGCACCACACCTATAAGGAAATTTGCCTACAGAGCAGTAAGAAGCCTGATGCGTTGAGCAGGAATGTTGTACCATGTGGAAATTGCTGCATTGTGCAGTTGCTGCCCTTTCCACCTCATCCCAAAGATACTAAACATGGTTGAGATCTGGGATCTGTGCAGTGCACTGAAGCAATGAAAACTTGCTGATGTTTCTGGAACCATTCAGTGAAGAAACGTAACTTGCAGTATGGTGAATTTCATTCTGGAAGTGTCAGTCCGAGTGAGTATAAACAGTAGCCAAGAAGGGATAAACTTGGTCAGCAGTGATATTCAGATAATTAATGCTGTTCAGACATTCATATCAAGGGCTCTGATGTGTTCCACAAAAACATTGCTCTGCCATCACTGGCCTATACTGTTGATGCCAAACAGGATGGCTCCATGGACTCATGTTGCTTGAATTCTGATCCTTCCCAAAAGGAACCCTGATTCTTTCAACCAGGCAAATATTTTCCACTCCTCAGTGGTTCAGTGTTGATGCTCCTGTGCCCACTCAACATGTTCTTTGGCTGCTGTAGTCTGTTCAAGACAAAGTTTGATAATTGCTATGTCCTGAAATGAGATTCTGCACCCCAATGTTGAATTTGAATGTGGTTTCCTGATTGAGGTCATCTGTTTGCTTGAAGCTCCACAACTTGTTTTTGTCCACAGGATTGCTGATTACTGGTACTTTTTGCTTTTGCTTTTGCTTTTCGTTAAAACTTTGAAATGATTGTGCGTGAAAAGCCCAAGATGAAAACTGTTTGGGAGATGTTAAAAAGGACTACACCACATTCACAATCAAGTTAATCAAGCTGAATCTTACAAATGATTTCCTGCCAGCTCCATTATTATAAACTCTGTGGTAAACACAGATAAAAAAGGACACAAAAACTGTCTTTACGGTTAATTATGTGAATCTCAAACTGAAAATATGAGAGAAAATTGACCTCTAATTGAAGTAAATTTAGTCTAAGTTTTCTTAAACTAAGTTTAAGAATTCTTTTACACAACATGTATCATAATTATTGGCACCCTTAGAGATTTTTATAGATAAAATGTGACTGAAGCATGTTCTCTTTTATTTTTCACTTTTATTAAGTCCACCTGAGTGTTCAGGAACTTTCAAGTGCTCATCCATGACTTCCTGCTTCACTGAGGTATAAATATGAGGTTAAGATTAGAGAATACACAAGTTAGACTAAAGTGTTTTAACCTTTATAAATCAGGCAGTGGCAACAATTACACACCTGAAAATGCCCATCTCAACTGTCGGGGCAATAATTGAGAAATTTAAAACTACCAGAGCTGTAGTGAACCCACTACAGAAGAAGAAGCCACAAGTGTATTTTGCTGCCATGCACAATGAAGAGGATGGTTTGAGAGGCAAAAGTCATCAAGTGCCTAAAACTACAATTAGATGCTATCTCCATACCAACTGTTCAGTAGTTAACGTAAGCACCTGGAGTTCGCTAGCTGCTGCTGAAACTTTGACTGGAATCGGTTTCCAAAAATAGAGCTCTTGGTAACAAACACTCAAGGTAGGTTTGGTTTAAAAAAAAAAGAATAGTTACAGAGAAAATAATCTCATCCTCCTAGTATGGTGATCTGTTTTTCCTCTAAAGGCCTTGGAAACCTTGTTAGGATACATGGCATCATGGCCTCCATGAAGTACCAGAAAACTGTAGATGAAAATCTGCCTGCCTCTGCCAAAAAGCTTCAACTGGGTTGTGGTTGGATCTTTCAGTAGTATAATTATCCAAAACATACATCCAAATCCACATAAAAATGGTTCAGTGACCACAGAATCAAGCTTCTGACATGGCCACCCCAGTCCTCTGTCATTAAATCTTCCTGAAAACCTGTGGGGCGAATTAAAGGGAGTCTATATAGGAGAAGCTCATGGAGATATTCTGTATTGTATTATGTCTCAGATTCCTTGCTCTGTGTTCTTGTTGCTCTGTAGACTTGTTGCTGTTATGTTGGCGAAGGGAGGCTGCATAAAATGATCAATGCAGGGGTGCAGGCAAAAATTGTGACACCAAATTTTAATATTAGTTTTTATTTTCCTTGCCTAAAATTACTTTGTCAGATTTTTTTCTCATATCTTCAGTATAATATTGATCTTTATTTGATGCTTTGGTTGATCTTTACCTTCATCCTTTCATTATCAGTTGTGGCAGCTGCTCTTCATGGAACGGTCTGCCCTCCTCTCCGACCCCACTATCTCAGGCTCAGAACCACTCCATGGCAGTTCTGCTGTGCAGACTGTAGTTGCTGATCATCCACCAGAGATGTTGAGGCCTGTAGCTGGTCCTGAAGGGCCTTCAGAAGCCACAGCTCCTGAGCAGGTGCCTCAACAGCTCAGTCAACGGAGGCACTCTCGACCAGACCGAGGACCAGCAGTGGAGGGGTGGGTCCTGATATGTTGTAAAATGTGCTACATTAACTCTCAGTATTGATTCGTTCAGCCCATTATACACCATGCAGAGTTAAACACATTTGAGCGCTGTAGGAACTAATGAACCCCTGGTGATTTTATTGCATTGTATTTCTGCCCAGGATCCGCATCTATAAAGAGCTATTCCTGTTTCAGGTGATTAGATGAAGGTGTTCATCAAGATTCTTTTTTTTTTGCACTTTATCTGAGACTAAACAAGCGATCCCAAGGGCAGACATGCTTGCTAACTGCTTTTAAGGCTTAACAGAGGCAAGTTTTCTATTGCACAGTGAGGATCTGATGAGTACATAAACCATGCTAAACTTAGATGAGGAGGATAACCAGAGCTTTGTCTGCTTTTTGTTCTGTCCAATCCCTTAATTACCCAGATTACATCAATTACCAGGCTCCCTTAATGGCTGTAATCATTTACTCTGCACTTTACTGGGGGATTTAACAAAAATCCACAAGATTAGTTTCACTCTTGGTTTAGAGTTGCTCATGCCACAGCCTATATCCAAACTGCCTTAAGAGCTGACCTTTTTTCTGTTTCTCTTAAGAATTGTTCAGCAGTTCTTGGCTGGCCTGTTCGCCAACTCTGGTAGTATGAATTCCCAGTCAGCATCATGGTATGTAGTTTTACATATTTCTTTTGTGTGTGTGTCTATATTAGAGGTGTCATTATCGATTATATTAGTAATCAAGTAATATACCAATTATTTTGGTAGATAATTGAGCAATCTGGGATTTAATAAAGGCCAAATGGATTGAACAATAACAAACCCTGTACAGACTTTCCAATATTCCAGAATACTTTATAGGAAAAAGTTTGGATGCCTTAGAAATGTATATAGAGACCACTCTTTTGTTTATTGAATCTCTGTGTTGCATATATATATATATATATATATATATGTGTGTGTGTGTGTGTGTGTGTGTGTATGTATATATATATATATATATATATATATATATGTATATATACACACATAGGAAACATCTTTTTAAATTTGTAAAATTTATAAATGGTCATTTACTACTCTACTACTATTTCAAGTAATTGTACTATTTTACAAGTACGATTACTTGAAATGTCTATTGGTCTGATTACAGTCCTGACTAAAGTTTTGTTTCTCAGGTCTGGAATGTTGCACTCAAACCCCGGAGATTATGCCTGGGGACAAGGAGGTTTTGATGCTGTCATTACACAGGTAGGTGACGTCAATGCTGACCACATCGACAGATGCGATGATGACCTCAATCTCATTTCCCGCACTCCTCAGCCCTTTCACTTTCCCCTTTAAAGGGGACTTGTCCCTCTTTTATCTTTTCCTGTTATAACATTTATGTGGTTTTATATTTCACAATGAGTCATTATTCATTTATACACAACCATTTTCCTACTTCTCTTTACCCCTCAGAATTAAACAGGCTGTTTTTGTTAATGTGCCTTTAAGGCTGAAATGTAAATGATCTCTTTTCTGATTGGCTAAACTAGGGTGTCCACACGTATCTGCAAAGGGCCAATGTGCAGGCTTTCATTCCACCAATGACATGACCGATTGTCTGACTGAGACCATTTGAATTAACAAGCGGAATCAGGTGAGCTCCTTCTTGTTTGGAATGAAAACCTACAGGCACATTGGCCCTTTGTGGTTAAGACTGGACACCCCAGGGCCAAGCAATTGTGCCTCATTCAAAAAGCATTCCAGACTCTTCAGAACACTCCTTATAACTTCAGTGTGGCTGGGCTGGCTGAACGACTATAGGCTGAATAAGTGGATATATGTGTAAAATGATTTTCCATATATATAAACTGGTGAGTTAATGCTACTTAAACAGTGGTTAAAGTTTAACAGCAGTTTTGAAACATTGACAATGTTGACATGCAACAGCAAAATCTTTTATTAAAGCTACACTATGTACATTTTGGAGATTTGGAGACCTCTGTGGTTGAAATGTGTAATTGCATGCAGTGTGATGGAGAATATTTTGTAACATTTGGTTGTGCTTCGGCCTCTTACGAGTGGATGAATGTGATATTTGCAAGATCGCTGAAAGAGAATTAAAAGAGAACACAGTCAAAGCTTGGCGCACATCATGTTTTCTCAGGATGTAAGTGAATTATCTATTAGTGTCATCAGCTCTTCAACAGAATAATGTTGACATTGTGTATGAGCCCTAAACATGGAGCCAGACCTTCTTTTTGTGCCTGTATGTGTGACGTTAATACATGAAGCTATACAATGAGGTCCGAAAAACACCTGCGGTATCCAACCCTGATAATTTTTTCAGTTTTTTTTATTCACAAGATTTACAGACCTACAAGAGTTTGATGTATATTAAAATGGTTTGTAATAGGTAAACTGCCAAAAGCAAGAACAAACCAAAAACATCCTCAGTGGACATCACACCTTGCATTATAATACTACATGATCCTACATGAATATGAAAAAAGAAGAATCCCCTGGAGCCCCCCCCCCTCCCCGCCCAGTTTTGTAATATTTCAGAGCAGTGAAGTAGTAAAGGTAGGGCAGTTCATTCTGGGAGGTCAAGGCTATTTTTGTCCAAATGGGACAAGAAAGATAGAAAGATATTTACTTTCTTCTTTCAATTTTAATAAAAAATCCTACATAGAGCAGAAGATGTTATGGGCCCTTTAATCCCTTGAAAAAGTATTGATTATGTAAGTCCCAGCTAAAGAGGTATGGTCCTCTTTTTTATGTTGTCTAAAATGGCAAGAATGATCTCATTTTCTGTTCCTCTCCTGCATCCCTTTGTCCTGCAGTTGTTGGGTCAGTCGGAGAACGCTGGTCCACCGCCTGCAGAGAAAGAAATGATCTCATCCCTCCCTACCGTCCACGTCTCATCAGAACAGGCTGGTGAGTTCCCATAATCTCCTGAGTCATCACACACAGCACCGTCCTTCAGGCCTTACTGTGTCAAAAAGAAAAAAAAGACCCGCCCACATATTTCTTGACGGCTTACCAGAAGGGATTTTCCAGCTTCTGCTGACTTCTGATAGTCTCTCAAAGGCTTGTAAGGCTTGTAGAGCCAGTCAGTGTGAATTGGGGGCGGGGGGTCCTTAGGAGTGAATGCATTGTTTGTAGTGATGCACCGATCTGATCTACTGGATCGGTATCTGCAACCATACTGACCTGATTAAACGGCTTGGATAACAGTCAGACTGTTTCAAACACATACCGTGTCTTAGTCATTATACAATTGGAACAGCACATTAGCAGTAATACAACAAGTAAGATGTGAAACTGCTTTGTCACACATGGGATTTGTTTCTTATCTTATGTAGGGGAAGCAGGGCACAACTTGTTCTGGTTCTTGCTATATCATTTCAGAAGTATTTGAGAATGATTCATATTTTTGATACAAACAGACTGCACATCTATAGTACAAATGAAATTGTATGAAACAATTCAGCCTAGAAGGTGCTAGTATAAATGTTGAAACTTACCATATAGGCGGGGTGAGGGGCTATTTGTAGCAGGTTCTATAAAAGTCTGTTAAATTTAATGGAATTAATTCAGTGCTGTATTGCACTGTTTGAACTAGAAATGTTTTATGAAATAGTTGCATCAAAATAGATCCAGCTAATATCAGAATGATACAATTCAAACAGATTTATTTATATGAGATTAACAGTAGTGATGTATCTGTGCATAAAAACATCCAAAACGTGAAGTGTTTTGCATTTATACGGTAAGCTAATGCTGTGGTTTAGTGGTGGTTGGTATGGGGTACTGTGGTTCAATCCACCGCCTGGGCAAGCACCCTACACTATACCAATAAGAGTCCTTGGGCAAGACTCCTAACACTACTTTCGCCTACCTGTGTAAAATGATCAAATTGTAAGTCGCTCTGGATAAGCACGTCTGCCAAATGCTGTAAATGTCAAAGCAAATGTAGTTGTATTAAAACTACGCCACCCGTGTGGAGGCTGTAGCCTAAATAGCTCTTAATGTAAGTGCAATCAAAGCCACCAAGAGGGTGAATAAAAGCATAGGTGCAAATTCTGTGACTTAAACACACTGATGAGGTTGGTATGAGAAAACAAGAAGATAAACAAAATCATATCAGTTTATACTTAAACTGTGGAACTATATAACATTCACATTCTCCCCTATTTATCATTTTTTATAGTTAAAATGTAATGTGCAGTTACGTGAGGTACTCAGACTGTAAACTGGAGAAAAATATCCCTGCTATCAGATCAGTACTCAGTATCGCTGATACCCTGAGTTGAGGTATTGAAATCAGTATCGGGAGAGTAAAAGTGGAATTGGTGCAGCTGTTATTGTTAGGATGCCGTATTTAAATGTAAATCTTCCTTCAAATGGAAAAACATCTCACTGCCAAAGTGGCTGTTCTTGCTCCCCCTTGCTTGTCCTCTCTATCTCTCTCATGCCTTCTTGTTCTCTCTCTCTCATCTCATCCCCCAGCATGTCGTCTGGAATGTCCCGTGTGCAGAGAGGAGTACTCGGTAGGGGAATCGGTCCGACAGCTGCCCTGCCTGCACTGTTTTCACAGTGACTGCATTGTGCCTTGGTTACAACTGGTGAGAGCCAAGTGCAGCAGCTTCCAGACTTTTCATATCTGTAAAAAAGAAAAAAAAAGGGGGGGGGGGATTTTAGCCCAGGCTGACTGCATTGTTCTTCATGGTCTTTATCAGTTCAGTGCCTCTTAAAAGCTCCCGAGGGTCTTATCTGGTACAGCAGTACAAAGATGAGTCTCCCAGTCTTGGCATTTGAATTGCAGTTGCGAGTCTGATTACTGCTCTGGTGACACTCTTTGCCAGTGTAATTGATGTGATAACATACGCTGTCTTCTCCTCTGAGCAAGTTGTTTTTTGCTGCCAACTGTTCCTGGGCATCAGTGCATAGGTTTTAGTCTAGTATCTAGTATCAGGCCTTTTTCACTGTATCAGTAACACCAGTGACTCAACTAATTAAAGGCTTGGTCATTGACAATAATGGTAACACAAGTTAATAGTAAAGGTTTTAAGGAACCACCACAGCACAAACTAATGCAACCACAGCACAAACTAATGTAATGTGACATCTGCTGTTGTTATGAGATAATCAACGTTATTCGCTTCATCTATGACAGGGGTCGCCAACCCAAATGTTAAGAAGTGCCATTTTTTCCTTTCAACAAAAATTAAACCACCTTCTGAGCCACATTTCATGTCCATTTTATTGAAGTAACATTTTACCATCTTGGCTATAAGCATGTCTCAGTATGTGCTAATGTCCTAATTTAGGCTAAAAAATATAAATTAAAATCCAGACATACTTTGCTCTTACTTTGCTAGCATACCTATAGCCACTTTTCTCGCATCTCCAGTAGGAAACTCTTCTGCCAAAGTAGAATAATTTCTTGTAAAATGTCTCTCAATGTTTGATTTTTTACATAGCTTCTTGTTTGAATTTTCCCATTCCACCTTAAATGGTGCCTGAAATGCCAGAATGCAACTGCTGCACCATTTAAGGTGAAAGGGGAAGATTAGAACAAGAAGCTGCAATTGAGAAGCTGTCTTCAGCTTCATGACTTTTTAGTGTTTGGCAGTTTCTCGTTGCAGATTAAACATATCAGAAAACCAGCTGGAGTGATTACAAATAAAAAATAAGTCCATTCATCTCTAAATTATCAACGTTCACCCTAAATCTTTGTATTTGCCTTATTGTTAGCTACTACTTAGGTGAAATTGTTGTCTGCGTTGCTGTGTGACCAGCAGTCTGTGCACTAACCTTCAGGGTTAAAGGTTGGTGCATCAGCAGTTATGCATGCAACTCCAGTGTCAAGACCATTTAGTGTTAAAACTGTGTTAGATCGATCAGCAGAGCTTTATTTTACTGCAAAGGAGGATTATTTTATTCTAATTCTGCTGTGGAGCCGCAACAGGGCAGTAAAAGAGCTGCGTGTGGCTCTGGAGCCACATGTTGCCGACCCCTGATCTATGAGTTTTCATAACGATTTGTCTGAAAGGTGTATAGTGACGTCTTTTAAATGGTGTTTACTGTGATTGACTTTTTATTTTGCAATTAATTACTATTGGGTTTTCCCTCAAGTAATTGGTACAAAGTAACATATAAGTAATGATTAATGAGATTACATTTTCCAGAAAGTATTAAGTAACATAATCCCCATTACATGACAACAATTATTAAAACACAATTATTAAAACAATTATTAACTTGTAATGAATTACTTTTTTGAGCAACACTGGCAACCACACTCAAACTTTGTGGTCAATACTAGAAAATTAAGAGTTTTAAGTCTTCAGATCTACATTTTGAAAAACCCACCTTATTGGTTCACCTTGTAGGGATACAGTCATCCATCAGTCCTTCATCAGTGGTCAGTTTCTAGTCACAGGACACTGTTGGCAGGATATTTTGGTTGGTGGATTCTCAGTCCAGCAGTGACACTGAGACCAAAAAAACTTGCTGATATACTCATAATAGTGCAACACACACTAGCATGTTGGTGTCTGTGCTGTGCTGAGAATGGTTCACCACCAACCAGATAATATCTGGCCAGTGTTGGTCTTATGGAGGTCTCTTTCCATTGATTCAGTTGTGCAGCAACGGATGAGCTACAGTCAGTAATTGTAAACCTGCAAAGTGCACTTACATGGTATTATATGATTAGTAGAAGTATCTCATAATATAACCAATGTTACATGGTATCTAATAAATTGGCACCTATACCCTTTGTCCACAGCATGATACATGCCCTGTCTGTCGCAAGAGTCTGAATGGTGAAGATTACAGCCTCCAGAGCCAGCCTGCACCTCAGGAGACCAGTACTCTCACCATGGAACCCTACAGGACCCAGCATTTATGATGATGTTTCCTTATCGTCTCTCTTTTGCAAGCCGTCCACCCGAGAGAGACATAAAGCACTCCAGGGGACACCATTTGGACTCACTGTTTGGGGAGAAGTCTCTGAGCGATCTTTCTGAGGGGGTCAATAAACCCTGATTCTTACTGATATTATGCACAGCAATAATGCACACGATCACTTTTTTCTAAAGTGAGCCTACTGTATGTATTTTCTGACAAGAGAAGCTTACATTTGTACAGCTCAACATGGAATTAAATTTTCAAGGAAGCCATCCTTAATTTATGAGTCCATGTTAATAACAAGTTGAAAGACAAACACATATTTGCTGTTAGATTTTTCAGAGCCCATAATGTTTAGTGTATCCCAAAAAATCGGCATAACTCACATTGCTTTACATGTGAACGGCTACCACTTTGGGAGACTCTGCAATCTGCATAAAACATGAAGGAAACAGCTTCAAAGAGTGAATGATTTTTGATCTTTGAGAAATCTATTGTATTCTCAGGCAGTGTCCTCACTGAATGTATCGACTGATTAACTCTATCAGATCTATTTTTGGTTTAGTTTAAGTAATTATTATAACGTCTTCATGGTCAGCGACTCACAGGGCCTAGTTCAAGTAGTCTGTCCTTGATGAGCTGCTTATATTTGTCTGTTTGGCTTTGATTAGTCTTATCTTGAAGCTGATGTGCTGATAATTCCTGCAGTTTAGCTCAACGGCAGAAACCAGAAAATATGAAATTCAGGACACAACAAGCTTATACAGTATTTTTAAGGAAGTATACAACACCTTCAAACACTGTACACCTATTGTTTCCTTACTCAGGTTTTTTTTTACAGATCTGTTGTACTTCTCCTGCCTCAGCATTATCTTTGGACATAACAATGCTCAGGACAAATCCTAGGACAGTTCACTAAGTTTAGATTGAGAAAGAGGAGAATTTTCACACTTTAACATTATTCTTGAACATCATGTCATAAGCTATGGGGAACCGCAACCCAAAATGAGTTTATAAAAATAAATAAATAGGAATCTTGGTGGTGTTTGTCTTGTATGTATATATATGTCTGTATTAGGGGTCACATATCCTATCCACAAAGGGTCAGTGTGGGTGCATGTTTTCATTGACACCTGATTCGACTTGTTTAATCTCTTTAATCAGCCTTCAAACAATTGACCAGTTTTATGAGGTATGCTCCTGCTTGACTGGAATGAAAACCTACACCAACACTGGCGACCCCTGGTGACCCCTGGTCTATATGTATAAACTTTTATTTACATTAGTAATATTGGACATTCATTGCTGAATGTCATAGTGGCGGCCCATTCACAAAAAGAACTCCACTGTTGAGAATAAAACTGGTATACATTTCTTGCATGATGTTGGGTGGCATCACAGGGCAAATGACACCTGTTGGAGCTGTTTTTTGTTTGATGATAAATTTCCTCTTTTGAAAAAAGGGGGGCTTTGTGTCTCCTTTGCTTTGTTCTGCTTTGTTACAGTTAATAGCCAACAGCTCCTCAAAAACAGTCCATAGAAAAACTGAATTGGGCTAATTTGCTTTACAGCGTCTGCTGCTGAAATATGGTAGTGGGATACACATCATCTCCATGAATGTAATAGAGCTGTTGCTATGATTATATGAGTTATTGAGTAATGCAGTGATTATTTTGAGGAATAATCAAGTAATTTTCATAAGCTAAACAATAAAAATAGGCTTAACTGAAAAGTAAGGTAGAATTGTTCACTTAAAAAGGTAAAAAAAGTCTTTAAAAATGCTTAATATATAAATAAAACACTGCAAGACAAAAACGCATTGTAAGTCATTATATAGCTGTGTTTACTCTAGAAATCTTTACTATATAAGCAGCCTGAGTACCACTGCTAAAGCTCTGTGGAACTTTTGATATGTTGTTTGCGCCAGCTAGTGATGGTTCTACACCAGGGTTCAATACTACTTAGATCGGCTCTACTTAAACATGGACATCTGAAGCATTTTGAAGCTTGTAGCACACATTGAAGTGGCTTAGTCTTTACTTTGTATGTTGTACTTTTATAGTGAATCTTTATTGGAGTAGTCTGTTAACATATTGAGTTTAGACCTTGTTAAATGAACCCTTCTACGTTACATACACTTTTACTTTGTTTACATGTAACTGGTAACACATACATGCATTGGTGAGATCCTGCTGGTGTGGATTTCCTCTTTTTCACAAAAGGCACAAAAAGGCAACTTGAGTACACAAAGGCTCCCCCCCTTGTGGAGAAACTTAAGGATGCTAAACATGGCTTTGTAATGATGCGTGTATACAGTTTTATCATTCAAATTGCAAAACAGTTACTAAGGCAATAAATTTTTAATGATTTTTTGTGAGTGATCAGTTTTAATCAAGTAATCGTGACAGCCCTAGTGTGAAACCAAGACTCTTTCCACTTTCCTTTGCCTTAGTACCTTCAATTCTCCTGCAAGGTTTTGATATCACACATTTAACCCATCAAATTGCGTCACTAGGAGTCAATACAATATAAAATCCACATCACAGAAAGTTAATTCAGGAACCACAGGATACATTAGCTTAACTGCCTTTTTTATGCCAAGTCCCTCTGTAATAAGAAAATAATAATAATATTATATAACTATAGATAATATGGAATGCTATAAAGTAATGTAAAGGAACGCTCACACTGGTTTGTGAGCTTGTCATGTGACCAGCGGTCAGTCTTTAATAGCCAAGCAAAACAAAAATGCTATTTAAAACCTAAATGCTTAAGCCTAAATTCTCTATAAACGGGCTGATGTCAACATTCTTAAAATATAAATTTAGAGAAATACACTTGATAACTGGGATATGAGTCACAGCTGCATCATGTACCATCTGTGGTTGGGTGAGGTCCTTCTCTGCTTTAATTATACTACATATCAGCCAGTCGGACGGTCGATTATTTGGAAATAAAGCCTCAAGCACAAGCAGCAGCGAGTACAAAGGCCATGCCCTTTGAGATGTATTGCATCTAAAGACACATACACAAACAGCTAGACTTCACGTCTGGCTTCAGATTACTGTAAAACTTAATGTCATACACTAGGGGTGCCCAACTCCAGTCCTTTCCCTCCATTCACCTCCTGCGCGGCAGATGGGCACTCCTGTCATAAACCATTGATGAATGACCTTTGACAGCTGACTGCCATAGGTTATATAAAATGGGAAGATGCTTTCAATTCCTGTCATCACATGGTCCAGCCCAAAATATTCCTGACTTCAAAAGTAAGTTACTATCTGATGCACTGTGGAAGTGGTTCTCAAACCTGTTGTGAATTGAGAGTATGTGGACCATCTGGGGGTCCCTGGGGACCGGTTTCAGCTCTATGGCACATACAGACTGTTTTGTTGTTACACTTTTATAACATGAAATCACATATTCAGTTAAATACAAAAGTTTGAACACCTCCATGTTTTGTTGATTTGTCAAGTGACAGAAATCTTCTATGGGAAACAAACTTAAATATGGCATTTTCTGGACATTTTAGTGCACTGCTTCTATCATTTCCTGAGTTTAATATATTGGGGAAAATATAAAATGTGCCAAAACTTCTGCACAGGCCACATTTTTTGTCTGTTTCTTTTCCCAATATGATACATTCAGCAAATAAATAATATTTGTGCATTAAAATGTGCAGAGGTGTTTTTCTATAGAGAATGTGTTCACTTATTGTCATTTAGAAAACCAACAAAACATATAATTTGACCAGAGGAGCTCAAACTTTGCATACCACTGTATTAGCATGCAATCAGTGCTAATGAATGTGGTTATATTGAATGTAATCTGAAATAAAAAAATAAAAAGCATGTCTCATAGACAACAATTGAAAATTAGCCAACTGACTAACACTGGCATATTTACCTCTGTGACTTGTCCTTGATACAGAAATAAAAAAGGCCTGTTTTAAAACTGAGCATTAAGTGATATCTCTGTTTAACATGAAATCTTTGAAAAGTCTTATTCACATAGCACCACAATGGCCCCAACAAACTTACCTAGGGACAGATCATGGTCTCTGTTATATGGAGTTATATGAAGTGTTTCAGCCTGGACTGTGTTTGGAATGAGGCATAACACAGGGCAGCAAATCAAAACAGAGCTCATTTACACATATCAGTCTTAAAAGCAGCCTGTTTAATTTTAATGCTAATGTAAACATGAATTATGTATCACACACACAAATGTTATAAGCTAATCTCAGAGGAAAAAAAACAGAAAAATGCAGAATATTTGCATGATATGGGCTAAAGGGTTTTTTAAGGGGATTTTATTATTTAAACATGACATATTCAAAGACTATTTGTACATCCAACTTTGGCATCTGTGGTAGACTGTACCCAGTCTTTCAGCCCCCTTGAGCCTTGTGGTCTGTGGTCCCCTGAGGCCTCTGGCAGTCAGAGGAACCTGCCCATACAGAAATCAGATATATGGCCATATATGGACATACATCATAAAAAGTCAGGCACCTACTTTAAATTATAGGTACATATATATTGTGTACATATATGTAAGCATCAAATAATGGTCATATATGCATGATATATGGATCATACATATATGTCTGATAGGTCAGTGAATTCATATGCATAATATATAGATTATACATCTATGACTGACACATGGTTGAATCCATTCCAGTGTAGTTATAATTGTTACTATTAATATTATCTGTTTGTTTTTGAATATTAAACTATTTAAATTTGCTAAATTTCCTTGGGATCAATAAAGTATCTATCTATCTATCTATCTATCTATCTATCTATCTATCTATCTAAATGTGTCAGGGAACAATATTTTGAACTATTTTTTATTGGTTTTATTGCATAGCTTACAATGTGCACATTTTAGAGTTTTGTTATGTAGCTATTATACTAATTTTCACTTCATTAGAAAGCATGTTGAAGAAACAAAGACGCATTACAACCTTATACAACATGACACTAACAAATATGAGAAATATATGCCATTCATATATGAAAAATGTTTTCTGTTATATACTGTTACATATATGTGTGTTACACATAAATATTTGTATATATTGATATAGGCTGAAACATGTCCTGTATTTGAAAATGGCCCATGTTTGAATAGATGTCACACACATGTCTATATGTCACTAATATAAGTTGGATATAAGGGAAATCCACGTATGCTAATACATGTCATATATTTTAAATGTGTATATAAATTTCCAGATATTTACCATTAACTATTTGCTTTTGAATATTAAACTATTTAAATGTGTCAGGGAACAATATATCGATTGCTTTTGTTTTAATGGTTTAATTGCATAGCTTATTTACATTTTAGAGTTTTGTTATATAGCTATTATACTAATTTTCACTTTATTAGGAAGCATGTTGAAGAAACAAAACATGCATTACAGCCTTTACAACATGACGCTAACATACATGAGTAATAGATACCATTTGTTTTGTTATACATTGTCATATATAGATATACGTGTGTGTTACACATATATAACATTATAATTACTATAATATTTGTACATGTTTATATATGGCTGAAATATGTCCTATATTTAAAATAGGTGTCACACTGATGTCCACATGTGACTAATATAAGTTGAATATAAGAGAAATCCACGTATGTTAATATATGTCATATATTTGAAATGTATATATTTCCATATAATAGATTTCCGTTTGGGCGGACAACGTGTCCAATGGCCCGGTCAGTAATCCACATCTGATCTGACCATCTTAACTGCTCAATAACAAACAGGTAGCACGTTCAGGTGGATCAATGTGGAAAACAATCCTCGGTTTTGGCTCCAGCGTCCCGCCTCCTGATCGCGCGAGCCAATAAAAAAACTCGAGCGTGGAGAAAAAACATCAACAGAAAAAAGAGCGGTTTCGCGCAGCCTCGCGACGTTTCTGCTGCAACGTTTAGTATCAGACCACTTAACGGGCAGTTCAACAAGCCCTCCTCAATCCTGCTACAATTCCCACGGGAGTCTGGATATTTCACTGTGGGGCAACAGTGACACGGGGCGCACGAAAACACGACCCTCCTAACGTCCAGAGGCGGCCATCGCGCTCCGTCCTCCTCCCTACAGTGAGAAAGATGAACATAAACAAGCGGACATTTTGTCGAGTCGAGCCGCAGCTTAAAGACATCCGAGCTTCTGTTTTAGGCTAACGCTAAATAAAAAAAACGCAGCAGAAAGTGGAAACACCAGTCGACATTGTGCCCTCCGTCCCTCCATCCCTCACTCCCTCCCTCCTCCTTCTCTCTCCCCCTCCTCTCCGTGTCTGCCTCCCTCCCTCCTTCCCTCCCGCCTCTGACTGGGAGAATGCCCGTGTTGTACTGACAGAAACGATACGGGCTCAGCAGACATGGAGGCCCGACTAACGCCACAGGCCCGCTCGGACACCTCTGAGCTCGACTAACGCGCTCCCCGGAGAGGGAATACAGCGACATTTCGGGAACATTAACGGGTAACGACTGTTCGGGCATGCACAAGAGGGAGAGGAC